TATATATATATATATATATATATATATATATATATATAACAAATGAATTTATATTTTATTAATAATTTTAGGCAATAGAAATTATTCATCAAGAATTATCTAAAAAACCATCGGTTCAATTATGGTGTTTATTAGGTGATGCAACTCAGGATCCTAATCATTATGAGACAGCATGGAAATTGTCCAATGAAAAAAGTAGTGCAGTTCAAAGACATTGGGGATTTTTTTATTTTAAAAAACAAAATGTAAGTATATAAATGCAAATTTTAATTTTTTTATATTACTTTAATTATTTTTTTATTATATATTTTATTTTTTAGTACAAAGAAGCTATATCACATTTAAAATTATCAGTTGAATTAAATAACATTCAAGAACATGTATGGATAAGACTTGGATTTGCTGCCTTAGAAATAGAAGATTGGAAATTAGCAGCAACAGCATATAAACATTATTGTGCTTTAGAACAAACGGTTTGTGTTGAATTAATAAAAAAGTTATATTGGTTTTTCGATAAAATAAATAATTTCAAATGGTTTGTATACAACTATTAATAATAAATTCATTTAATGAGGATTTAAAGTTGACAATGAAATTTTTNTATGACTTTATAATTTTAATTATTATATATATTAGAGTATATATTACATATATTATTATATATTATATATACTATTTATAATATATATTATATATATATTATATATGATATATTATATATTATATATACTATTTATACTATATTTATACTAGTATTTATACTATTTATATTATACTATTATATTATATATATAATATAAATATATTTATATATATTTATATTATTTATACTATTTTTATATTACATATACTTTTATTTGTACTATTTATAATTTTATTATATTTATATTATATTATATCATGTATTACATAATTTTACAATTTGATTACAGACATTTGAAGCATGGAATAATTTGGCAAAAGCTTATATAAAATTAGGTGATAAAACAAAAGCTTGGAAATCTCTTCAAGATGCTATAAAATGTAATTATGATCAATGGCAAGTTTGGGATAATTTAATGATAGTGAGCATTGATTTGCGACATTTTTCAGAAGTATGAATATATTTATATAATATTAAAATAAAAACAAAATTAAATTATTTTCTAAAATATATTTTTTCAAATATATAAATGATTTATATTTAATTTTTTTAGGTAATTCGATGTTATCACCGTATTTTAGATTTGAAAAATCATCATTTAGATGTTCAAATTCTTGATATACTTACTAATGCTGTATTAAACAATGTAAATGATTCAAATGGAATTTCTGCACAAAAATTGCTTCCAAAAATTTTAGAATTATTTGGAAGAATTACTTCTTTTATATCTAATAATTCTGATGTTTGGAGGATGTATGGACAACTTACTATTTTAAAAAAGACAGATATTGATAATGAAAAGGCAATACAATATTTACAACAAGCACATCGTATTGCTATCTCAGATTCAAAATGGCATTTAGAAGAAGAATCAGTTGAGAAAATATTACAATTATGTTGTATATTAGCAGAAATATACTTACAATATGCTTCCAATTGTGAATTAAAAAAAAAAAAAACATTGTTAGCTAGTGCAAAATTATCTCTTCAAGGAATTGTAAAAAAAGTCAAATATCAAGAGTGGAATATTGATAAGATTTGTATATGTTTAAATACAGTTGAAAAATATTTAAATACAATAATAATAAAATTAGAACAAATAAAATTGAAAAATATATGAATATTTTATTATAATGAGCTAATTTTTAATTAGAAAACAAAAATATCCTATAACTTTGTATGTGTATGTGATGTGCGTACGTGTATATGTAAAAACATTACAAAAATATAATTTAATAATTCTCTTTAAAATTCTAATTATTTAAAAAATATATATTGCAAAAATATGTTTTGTAATCAAATATTATAATATATATATATTATATATATATTATAATTAATTTATGAATATAAGTTATAAATATATTTGTAAATATTTCTAGATTGGGGATATTCGTAGAATCAAACAGTTATAAAAATTTTATTTCGATTTATTTTTTCCTATCATTTTTTAGTATATATTTTATAGTTATATTTTCTATTCTTTTCTATATTCTATAATACATTGCACAACGAGTCAAAATTTAAATTTTCAAAATTAATGAAAGAATATATGTCTAAAGTCTAACTATAATCATCTCCTTCTTCATTTGTTTAATCAGTAACATAATATAATCAAACTGATTATAGTAATTATATTTTTCCCTTAACTTTTTCAAAACGGCAAGCCTGCAGATAGATAGATAGATAGAAGCCTATAGATATAGAAATATTGAATCGTGACGTGGTAACTATTTAGTTTCACTTCAACAATTAAAATTAATTTTAAATAATAAATAATAAATAATAATTTTGATAAAGAAGTTATATAAGATTCTATAAAAAAATATTTAAAAATACAAATTAAAAAAAAAATTTTTTATAACTTTTATATTAAAAGGTAATTACATATAAAATATTTTACAAATTATATTCCAATTCAAATATTAGAGAATAACATATGTATGTATAATGTATTATTTGCAATATAAATATTATTTGTAAAATATAATTTATTTTAATAATAATATTAAATTCATTTTATTCTAAATAAATACCTTTCTTTTAGATGCCATTTGCAGAAAAAGTTGTATTAATAACTGGAGCTAGCTCTGGCATTGGAGCAGCAACTGCTATACATTTTTCACAACTTAATGCATTATTATCAATAACAGGTCGTAATGTACAAAAATTAAATGAAATAGCTGATCAATGTAAATCTAATAAACCATTAATTATACCTGGAGATTTGACTAATGAAACTGATGTTCAAAATATTATTAAATCTACTATTAAACATTATGGTAAATTAGATATTCTAATTAATAATGCTGGCATATTAGAAAATGGCAGCATAGAAAATACTTCGTTAGAACAATATGATAGGTATATATTTATTTTTTATATTAACTTAAAGATATGAAATTTTATTTTAATTTTATAAAATATATTAAATATTTACATGCAAATGTTTTAGAATTTTTAATGTAAATGTACGTTCAATATATTATTTAACAATGTTGGCTGTTCCATACATAATACAAACTAAAGGTAATATTGTCAATGTATCAAGTGTAGTTGGATTAAGATCCTTTCCAGGAGTTTTATCATATTGTATGAGTAAATCAGCAATTGATCAATTTACACGATGTGTGGCTGTTGAACTTGCACCAAAACAAGTATATATAATTTTAAAATATATTAAATACAATATTTGATGTTTTCATATATGAATTTATATATATATTTCATATATAAATTTTATATATTTTTTTTAATTTATAGGTAAGAGTTAATGCTGTAAATCCTGGTGTAATAACAACAAATCTTCATAGAAATAGTGGAATGTCAGATGAAGAACTAAAAAACTTCTATGAGCATTGTAAAAATACTCATGCTCTTGGCCGATCAGGAGATGTTAATGAAGTTGCAAAAGCAATTGCATATTTGGCAAGTGATGATGCTAGTTTTATTACAGGTGTAACTTTATCTATTGATGGAGGAAGACATGTTATGTGCCCTCGTTAAATTGTATTTTGTGCAAAAAATAATAATTTTGTTTGTAATTTTAAATTCATTAAAATATTTTTCATATCTATAATACATTTATCAGCTTAAAGCTAATATTTTTTTAAAAATGTTTATATACATAAGAAATACTAATAGTAAGACATTAAATTATAACATAAAAAATATGTAAAAAAATATTATTTTTCAATAAATAATATCTTAAAAATGGATTTTTGAACAATATATTATAAGAATATTTTTATGCTATTACTATACTATTTGTTATTTAATAATTTAAAAACATTATATTATTAATAGTTTATTAAGATAAATGAAATACTTATATAATAAAATAAATAAATATATTAATTAAATATTTTAATTAGTTTAAAATAAAAATGCATTTAAAATTAAAATAAAT